AGGAACGAGGGAATATAGACGTGGGGGGGGGGGGATGGGTTTCTTTGTTTTGTCTGAAAACAGCCGCAGGGGTGACGGACTGTGGCATCAAACCAAACTGAATATTGCGTCCGCACTTAGGTCGCTTCCGTGTTCCCTTGGGTACGTATGAAAGGTAGAATGCCGTGCGAGAAAAATGGAATCTAGTTCTGTACTGAAATATATATGCCTGAACTAGAAAACAGATAGAACTTAGATATCGACGAGACTTGCTCCTTTTGACAGTGCACAACACGAATTCGCTTTTTTTCTTCTCCTTTTTTCCATTTCATTTACTTTCTGAAATTAAATTTATTATGTAAGATGTAAGTTACAAAGGAAGACTTACAGGAAATAGAATTTATGAGAAGTAAGAATTCATAGCGAAAAATATCAAGACAAAAGAAATTTTGTTCACCAATTATGTACAGAGCTTCATCTCAAGTCTATGTGTCTTTTTCATTCAATAAGAGCACATGACAGTTGCATTTCTTAATAATTCAGTGACCGTAGTTTTTGAGCTTTCTGAAAAATTCATAAAAATTCGATGTATCTATGTCTTGTTTCCTCTCAATTTTGTATCGTTTAACATCTACAAACACTTGAACTAGAGAACAATTCTATAGCATGTGATTTATGTCTTGTACCATATAACCACAGTTACATGAGGTCGTATGTCAGGTAAACACATAGACCACTCCTCGCGGCATCTGTAATTAAATTCCGTGACAAATCGTCGCCCTGTAGTACCGACAAATCACAGTAATCCGTATCCGCTTGTCTTCGAGGCATTTATCATTTTTTCACGGGAGCCGTCGCGTTCGCGGCCACAGAACGAGTTCCTTGCTGCGACGTCCACGTCTACCCATATGTGCGAAAAGCACTGGGGAGTAGGGGATCTTCGTAGCACGAAGTGGAGAGAGAAGAAAAAAATAGAAGAGCGAAAAGGAACGTATCGAGACGTAAATCAGGCAGCAATTAAAATTAGCGAGGGGTTTCACGCTAAACGGGCGGTTACATTTATCCATCCACGGCTCTTTGATGAGTTTTCCCGAGAACGCGTCAGTTACTTCGAACCTCTGTCGGTTTTTCGGCATTCGCAGCTCAAGGTTTACGCGTATCCGTTGTCGCTTCTCTTTGATGTTCTTCTCTTCCTTCTCTACCTTCTTTCCGGCCTCTCTCTCCTTCCGTCTTCTTCACGAATCTTCTAGACTTCCTCTGTTCCTTCCTCTTCCTTGAAGGACACTATAATTTATATGATGTAAATTATTACGTCTTTTTATTTGTTTTATCTGTGCTATTGAATTTTATAAACAATTTTCTTGTTAACAACCGTTTGGGATTTTCGCAGATCTTATTGCGTTTATAAATATTGACGGTTGTTCAGGTCATTTTTGTACTCACCCAAATATGCTAGTATGAATCTTTTCTGTATGAATAGTATGAATCTGTCTTGGAAATTGGGGCTCGTTGTCGGAATCAATGAGGCCTACTAATCTATCTATTTCCATTCATTTTGCATCTATACTTATTTTCATCTCCAGTTTTGGCTCTTGGTTCCTTTAAGGAAATACTTCATATAATTGTGTTTGTAACCTATTTCATATTTGTATTTATTATATATATGTAAATAAACTATACGTGAATTACCTCATTCATTTTACTTATCTTTAACAAAAATCCCGTTAGAAAATAGCATGAGTAAAAATTTGAGTAATAATTCCTAAATTAGGCTGGCAGTTGTGGATAAGAAAGGATTATTCGTCAAGTCGACTGGTGGCGTTATTCGACTAAATCCGTCTAATCCAAAGATTGATGTAGGTTATGCTAAATGACAACTTTCAAATTGTCCTTTTCTCTCATTCAGCGACTGGTGGCACTGTTTCACATCAAATCCATAATCCAGACGTTAATCTACACCCATTTACAAGTTAATCTAGCCACATTGTCAATGGAAATATTGACCGTTCTTTTAGATCCGACTCGTCGCTTTCTGTGCACGTACATCTCCGAACGCAGATAGGGAAAGGGCACGAGGCCAAAGAAAAGGACATCGAGAAGGACCATGGATGGTTAGTTCGTTCTTTTCTCTCGTGCTTTTTGGTGTTTTAAGTCGTTCCAGATGGCTGGAGTAGAGGTTTTCTCGTGCCAACCACCTACCTACACGGTGTAGACTCCCTTCTGAACAGAAACAAATGTTCTTCGTAGCATGTTTTACTGAAAGCAAATTTAGATGTCCAAATTAGTTCTCTCTCTTGTTCGATAACAAAAAGTACGATATAATTCACGGATGACGTTCATACTCGCTAACAAGCATATAGGTGTAGTTGCGGTGCGTTCCAAAATACTGGATGGTAGAGAGGTTAGAAACATAACCATATCGGGTGACAAAAGGTAAGTTGCATAATAAATTCCAAGTATTGTTGGAATTACGAATTCTATATCTACAAATAAAAATTTAATGTGACTGACTGAATTATGAAGAAACTACAGAATTTAAAAATAAGAATAGCAACTGGTGAAAACTGAATTATAAATTCGATTATTGTCGAAATTATTCTGTGCTTATATATGCGTCGTTTACGCCATTAAGCGAAAATATTCGATAAAAGAAAAGTGCTTTCATTTTGGAGCAGAAAGTGGCGCAAGTTGATTCCTTAAGTGGCAACGTTTAGCTCAAGAGTGAGAACACTCGAAGGATTCGTAAGTGGCAGAAACGAAATCGAATATTTAGACTTGGCGTGACATGTGTACTCATACGTTTTCTATTTTATTGCCAGCTATGTTAATTGTGATGGCTTCCAGGACGTTTCGATTATTTTTTTTACCACGACCTTCTTGGCAACCTTACCTACAGAATTACCTTATTCTTCACATCTCAACTGAAACTCTTGAGACGCTTTCCTCGAAATTGTCCTTAAGCCGTGAAGTGACTGTTTTCATTCTCAATGGCTCCGCTTTTCATTATTTTACAAGTCTCTCTGAAAGATCGTAATATATTGATAACGATCTCTCTGTATCGAGAATTACAGATGGAAAATGATAGAAGCCACAATTGCTGGAAAGTAAAGTATATAGTTATCTTATCTTCTTTTTGATTAATAAAATATTGTTAAATCATTAAATATAAGTATTAAACCATTAAGGAACATGGAATGAGGTAATATGTAAAAAATAGGTAACTATAAAATAGCAAATTTGAATAACTGAAAATCTGAGAACTTGAAAATTTAAAAATTTGAAAATTTAAAGATTTGAAAGTAAAATGTTGTGTTAACGTAATGTTGGTTTTTAATGGGCTAAAATTTTTTCATTCCCAAAAAAAAAGATTGCGTAACGAGTTATAGCATCATTATCAAAATATTGCAAAACGTTGACGCAAAAAAAGAGTTCTTAATTGCACCTGATAATCGGTAGAAAAAAGAGAACGAGTAGAATTAAGCAAAGGGTTATTTCAGCGAACTTGCAACTCAGCAACTGAAAAAATATTTTCGTCGACTCACTGTGTTTCTATTCATATGTAAATTGCATCGCGCATTATAGTTGGTTGGGTATTGAAAACTGGCCCATCGATCATTAAGACGAAAGATTTTGACGGACATAAATTTGATATCGAGAACAAATGACTATAATTCGTTCAGTAAAAATATAAAGAGAAAAAGAAGCGATGAGCAAGACCTGTTTCGATCTAACTAACCTACCTGTTGTGCCAAGGTCACGCGGAAGGTTCAATATTGATTCAGAAAATATACGAAATCAGTCGGTGAACAGGTTGAAACAGGGGGTTCGAACGATGTTTTTATTTAGTCTGGGATAAAGTATTTAAGAACTCAACTTTGCGTATTATGCCAAGTATCACATAATTTTATGAATTTTTACGACATGTAATCTTTTAATTTTTCAATACCCAGAGTAAGAATGAGTTCAGTCTTTGTGAGAAATTGAATGTTTTCTTGACAGATTCCTGAAATTCATATCTTTTTATTCTTTAAGTTGTATAAGATTCAAATAGTATAATTGTTATTATGATATGTGTATATTTTCACCTTCATGATTTATATTGAAATATTATTATATATTGATTAGATTAATTATCAATACAGGTATTCGGTGACATCTAAAGGTGGAAACGCATCTTATAATGTCGATAAAGTAGATTTCCCTAGACAGCATGATGGAGTAAAGAAAAATGAAAGTTACTTTACCAACGTTCAAGTGCTATCATTATTTGTTTCTACTTTGTCGACTGTAACTCACTTTCAAAATGTGTGAACTGCTATATCGATAACAGATTGTATGAAATTAACCACTTTAAATCTAGATTATCTAAAAAGAAGCTTCTTCTTGTCATTCAGTTAATAGTAATTTATTTCGTATTTATATTGCTGTGAAGCATTTTATATGGTTCTGATTGAGACATTTACGCATATAAACTCAGAAAGGAAACGACTCTTATTACTAATATTACAATTTAATAGAATTGTAAAAAAGCTAAAAATTATTTTTATTCTTATTTCCTTGAAGAATCGTACGAGAATAACGCAAAAACTAAGATGCAGGAAAGAAAGATACTTTTTTGGTATCATCTTCCCGCTGGACAGTCCAAACAGATGGTTCACGTCCGAAAGCTCGTAACGATACTCTGTCTTGTAAACATAAGGTGGCGGAGAAAGTATTGTCAGTTTCTTAGTTACTTTACAACCAGCGTCTTTAAGAAGATCTGTCTTAAAGATTTTCATCGATAGGAAGGGCGAATGGTGGAAGAAAGAGTTAAGATTTATAACTTCCGGTTCATCGAAGAAGATTCTTAGAAGATGGCGTTCGGTTCGCAAAGATTGCGGTTGCTGAAAACCATCGATTTAAGATCGATTCAAAGCATTACTATGAAGAGAACATCGCTCGATTTAAATGCTTAACTCATAGTGTTTTCTAACCTATATAATATTTACGCCCCTTTAGATCATCTTTAAATAAGTAAGTATATACATGTCTATAATATTACATATATTGATAGTAATTATTACTTAATTACTATTTATGTAGCCTACCATATTTTTATTTACTATCGATATCAAAATCTGTATTGTTTAATAATTATCAATAAATAAATAATTTTTCAGTGCTTAAAGATATTTCGTCCGAAGTGGTGTTTAAAAATTGGAGGGTTAAGAAACATAGTGATGTAAGCCAATTTACCACTAGCTTTCATAAAATATCGTTCTGTATTTATTATAGTAAAAAATTGATTATACCTTTACAGACCATGAAAATGTGTCGTAACACAGAATAAAGTTATAATTTAATTTATTATAATATTAAAAGCATAATACATTTAAAAGCTAAACCATATCTGATATTATCTATGATTTTTAGACGACCAAGTATAAAATAATCAATTGTGAGAGAAGAAAAATTAAAATAAAAAGTAGGGGATATTGCAATATATGTATGATTTGCCAAACAGAAAAATTACAAAGGATCCTTTATACGCCTGTATAATTCTACCAGGTATCCCAAGGTCGCAAGTTAAAATATATGATTATGTCCAAACTCTCAACATGTATCTTATACCAATATGATTTTCAGTTGGCTAATTGATAAATTGAAAAATCGCGCGTAGTTACCATCGACTCGTAACGCAGGCCGCAGTATGTTCACGGTGCTCAGTTTCTATTCCGGTAGACCGAGTCTTTTAACAAACGGTCGTTAATTTTTAACGATGCCGTTAAACGTCGGTCCGGCAAGATGGCTGCAGCTGTAACGCTCTTCGTTCTAACTCGAACGAGCACGAAGAGAGGGGTATATCAGGGCGAGCGTAATTTATGTTCCGTAGATTTCGCGATTACCTGTTATTCGTTTTCTATTATCGCGTCAAGATGTTATTTCCAGGTTATGAGGGAATATTAATCGTAGCCTTGTGAATGATATGAAATAAAGCGTCCGGCTACAGATTCCAATGGTAATTGCCTAAACATTGTGGTAGCGCGAACAGTAAATCGTTCGAATTATATCATGAGAAAGTTTCTATAAAGAATGTATGTATATTATGACGTATATCATCGTAATCAAGCGTTGAACAACATTCTTTCAACGCATTAAATGATATACTTATGCACCTACTTCATTTTATAGGGAATATAGAGTTTAACAGATGAACAAAACATGATCAAATATTAAACAAAATTTTGAAAGGAAAGGATATTATAAAAAAGTTCCTTATTTTGTTAAAATCTTCAAACAAGGTTAGTAAGATGTTTGGTATTGCTATCTCTGTTTATATCTTCCCAAACTCATTATGATTTACAACCCCAATGCTTGGCTGGTTGTATGTAATACCGTTGCCGGTACTTAGAAAATTAAATCGTGTACACAAGTATCCATTTCTTTCTGCCTTTCTTCTTTTTCGCGGGAAAGGAAAAAACAGGAGGGGAAAAAAGAGTCCGAAGACCCAAGACGACGGAATCTCGGAGAGGTCGTGTCAGAACAACCCCCTACGGTAGTCGAGATCTAAACACTAAAACAGTGGATTAAGTGGGGTACACACGTTGCATAAACAACCAGTCTCCACGGGGGTGCGGCCCGGTTAGTGAAAAATTTCTACGCAGCAGGAAGGCGTTCATTCGTAGACAAACGCTATTACTACTCACCTCCAACGAACTTTGGTATAAAAATAATCAACAAAAATATTACTGCAATTCCTTCGCAAACTAAAAAGGATTAAACGTATTTATGAGAAAATCAAATGAATTGCTAATATAAGAAAAATTACACATTTATAGGAACAATCTAAATGAAAAGAAATATGAAAATTTTCAGAAAAGTGCCGTTTGATCGTACGAACACCGTGAAATCCGAGCTTTCGTGGAGTATCCGCAGGAAACCAAGGGGAGCTTCCGATAGAAACTTACGCGTACAGGAGAGGGACTTGCGCGCTTTCCAAAATAGCAGCATCAGCGGATAAACATGTCTTATTTTGAGAGCTGGTCTTCTCTCTCCGTTCCTCTTCGGCCTGTTCCACCGACGAGCCTGATCTTACGCAAAAGAAACACTATCCAGACACTGTACGCCAAGGATGGACTGCAGAAATCTAAGGGAGTTATACGGCGCCCGAAGAAACCAGGACGAACCAACGGTTCAACGGAAATTTACGAGCTTCTGGATAGATCGATCCGTGGATGATTTGCACGCGACCTCCAACTCAGACGTAGTACCTTTTCACCCAATGTCTCTGTGCCTCTTGAATGCTAATCGATCTTCTGAAGTGGTAAAAACAGTCCATCTACTGTCTACGAAACGTTTCAAGAATTCTCGTGGGAAAAAGCGTATCGCCATCGAGTACCTACGACCTGGGTGGTGACACTCACGTTGCTGGCTAGCATGTAGATGACAATATATAGATGAAATTTAAAGTATCTTAAACGCCGTAACGTCGTATCATCTGGAAGGATTTTGTTAAAGAGATAAGAACAAAGAGAAGCATTTTTATTCATAAATATTGAAACCAGAATAATTTCGTATTAAATGGTATCGTTGGGTTATAGACCACTATAAATAATTCACGATAGATTAGTAAAATTTAGAATATTTGATTTTTTTATTTATTTTACATTCTCCGTAGTAGAGATTAGTAATAAAATTAAATTGAATTAAACATTGCAAAAGCTAAATAATTTATCCCTAAATTGCTACAGTCCCCAATAGCCTAACGATATCTACTAGTTAAGAGTTAATGAAAATTTTATATAATTTCATATCATTTGATATTAGAAGATTTATGAATTTTACTCATCAATTCAAAGTCATTTCACTTAAGCATCATACGTGAATTACTATTTCTGCCTAGTTCTTCTCCACTCGTTGATTTGTATCAAACCAATTTCGAATTGCTTATCAATCAATTCTCGATGACAATTACGCTTCCTATGATCTTCCAGTGAGACGCGTGAAATTATCGTTTTTAAGAGTGGCTCTCGGGCCATAAAAGTTTGGAAAACCCTATACTAAATAATATTCCATTCTTTTCAGAATTCAGATCTAATCGAAGAAAGTTATGATATAATATAAACTGTAACTATCGTAATTAAGGAAATTCTATTCGTTCTGGTTAACTAACAGGATTCGAAGATTGGTGTACTGTACGAACGCAAGGCGTCGGGTATGGCAACCACGTGCTGCTCCATTTTACCCCTTCCACTTACCGGGCGTCACGTTCCCTCGCGGCCGGGATGAGGCACAACAAAAGAGAGAAGAGACAAAATTGTTTGCCTTGAATACAGTTTAAGACCCAATCAAAACAGGGACACGTTACCAGAAAAAAGATATCCGTTTCCTTAAAAGAAGCCGAATTGTTTTCACTTCGAGGTGCAACTAATGTATTCAACCATACATCATACTTAATGTATACTTTTCGAGCAAAGTATCATCATTCCTCACACTTGATCAACAAACAAACGTTCAAAAATTGGGAACAAGTGTAATATTTTTAATTTATACTATATATGATTGAATTATGTAAACTATTTTCGATAAATTTTGTAATCTTCAATCTACAGTGTAAAAAGAACGATTGTTGGATTGAACAGGTACGCGAACAGATCTGGTGGTGAGCATAGGGTTGAAGATGCGACAGGAACGTAAGGCTCGTAACGTGCACCCACGATCGGCGGTATAAAATTACGGTATTGTGTAAACAGAGAATATCGTCGGCGCGTCTGATGGCCGCTTGGGTGGCCGTCAGGGCCTCACGTGTTCTCCACAAGCAGTGAGACTCTAACTTCGGTCTCGTCGTGTAGCCGGATCGCGTAAATCCCTGAAGAATCGACGAAACGGAAGCACGCGAACGAATTAGCCAACATCACTGACCAAAAACGATTCTTCTACTCGCTATCTATTAAGATCTCTCCGAGATTAGGAAGAAACAAGAATATCTCTTTTCAAATTGAACTTGCCTCGCAGGAATTCACGTTTGGAATCTTATTATGTAAAGTATCCAATCTTAAATATTTCTATCTTTATGTATTGTTCGACTTAATGAAAATTTTGACGATAATCTTTAACTTACACATATGGAATCTATGTTCCCATAATCTAAATGGAAATTCTGCTATACGAAAGAAGTCGCACAATCCTATTCTGCTGTAGTCTACAATTATTAAGAGATCTATATGACCAGGACAAAATTTGCTAGATCTTGAAACTTGAAGCTTTTTTGCTTAGAAAGCGAATCTCCGGAGGAATCAAAATGGCCGCGACGCCGGATGTAAACAGACGAGAAAGTTCGTAACGTGCACGTGAGACAGACAGCCTGTAATGTCTGGTTCCGGTCTGCGGTTTTCCTACGGGAACACGTGCGACCGAAACTGGCTTTCTTCGGGTGGTCTTGGTCGTCGGCGCCTTGTACCCCGTTTTATCTTAAAAAAACTGATCCGGAACTGTCGCAATTTGCCCCAAGAGTGGCGTTGTTTATTGAGAAAGAAAGAAATGGTCGTTTCGAGGCCTTCAAAGGACGCTACGTAGACTTAAGACGCTTATTTTCTTACGGTGAACGATAATTATTAAATCCTTCCATAGATAATAATCTTCTTTCTTGTAATGTAGCTACATATAGAGACACTGATAGACTCTGGTCTCTGCGCTTTAACGTGTTCTTTCCTTTTTTCCTAGATATCTCGAAGAACTGAATTAAGTTTTTTTTCAAGTGGCACTTGAGACTGTCGCAGAAAACGACACGGGGAAATCTTGGAAGCAGTAAAATGGTAAACACTTCTAAATGTTCTTCGGAGGGTGCTCTCAACAAGGAAGGGCGAGTACTTCACTTTCAACCCTTAAGTCACGAGGTCCACTATTAAATATTCTATAAATCTGAAAGAGTATACTAAAATACTCAGTTTTAATTTCTTTATAAGTGTAAAGATGTTTTAAAAGCTACGTTATTCTAAATCAGGCTAACGTTTAAATTTGTCAGAATAATTTCTAAATTAATTTAATTGAAAAAAATGTAGCTACTTTGTTTTACAGTATTTTTTACAGTCAGAAGCTATATACGTTTTGGAAGTACGTTTCCGTTAATTTTTAATTTTTATTGGATTTATAGAAGAAGTATGTAGCGAGAGACATTCAGAGCAGTGTGGCAAAGAGTTAACAGAACCACGAAACACACGTTGCACGATTTCAAGTAGGCAAAGACAAGATGGCCGTGACGCTTCTCTTTCGTCGGTTCGTTCGCTGTAAGGCAAACAAACTTCTTGAGAATTCGTGGTCTAGAGAGCTCAGGGCGTACGATATCACCGGATAGACGTTGGATGACATTAAATAATTGCCCTCTCGATGCTCCACTTCCAGGTTTCCATATGTTTCTTGGAATTTCATTATTATAAATAGAGAACAATTGCTAGGAAATATTCAGACTCGTTCTTCGTAATTTAATCTGCTATTTCGTTTTCAATTTTCACTGAATTATAATTTCAATTCTAAATATTGCATAACTTACATGATAACGATAAAAATTCAAGAGAGAGATTTTTAGCGATGTTTGCATTGTTATATATTTATCTTTGGATTGTAATTATTATATTGTAATATTGTTACTATTATTGGATATTATTATTCTATACAGTGGTTTTGGAATCATTTAAGATTAATTTCGTATAGAGTTTATTGCAATTTTGTTAGATTAATTAGGAGATTTTAAATAAAAAGGCCTAAATAGAAGAGCCTATATGGATCAAAACCATCAGGAGATTCTAATGAAACGAGGCACGTACTTAGAATCGTGATCGTTGATAAACGTCGATCTCAATTCTTTCAGGACCAGTTACCCGATACCTCGTCACGTGTATCGATATGTAAACACTTTGGTTCGATTGACTGCGATCAACGAGTTAATGCGCAGCGGGTCATTGGATCGAGAACACTATGATAAGAAAGTTTAGAGACTTCCTTCGTAAATATTACAAAGCGACGTCTTACGTTATCGACTACGAAATTCATAATGAATTATATGTAAGTACTTATATATAGATACGTATTTTATATATCATCTATATTATTAATAACACAAGGTTGTATAATTTTAGATTTCGCGCATATCTACGCAATAATCTAACAATCTAATTTAATAAAAGAAAATAATACTTTTTCTCCTGTGATAGACAATGATACTTTCACCAGATGCGATAAGACACTTCAATTCATTGGCGTAATTGTAAACAATCATAATAAGCTGACATAACGCCATTGAAAAGATAAAGTACGGATCATTTTTATTCCATTCTCATTCAAGAATCAGTACCAACGCAATATCCGCGGTTTGTAACATAAAGTCGACACATTGAAGCTCTCGAAGATCATTTGTGTCTTCCATTCGTACATGTTTTATGAATTGCACTTCTTTTCTTTCGAAGTATAAAATTAATACTAACAAGTACGTATGTACATCTTTTTTTATGTAGCATACAGTACTTAAAAAATTTGTAAGAAGATTTTCCACCTATTCACATTGATCTTCAAAATGTGGAGCTCTACGCGATTTCGGGAATTAATTATGCCTTTCGCCAGAAAATTTCACACAATTTTCAGGTGAAAAGCACAATTAGTTCTTGAAATCGCGAACGTGTTAACAACAATTTTGCTTTTTCATCGAAATGTGATTCAAGTGAAATGAGAAGGTATAATGGAAGTCCGACATTTTGTGTTCCACGAACGGAAGTGCGTGATGACGCTTAAGATCTGTCGGGAACTGACATCACGAGTAAAATTTCCAGATAATCAGCCCTAATTTCAGGATAATCGATGATGTACGAATTCCGAGAGGAACTTAAAACAGAAAATGGAGGGCGGTTCTATGATCGGGCGGAGCATAGCTCTAACTTCTCGTTGGTCAACAGGTGAACCAATCGTTTCTTCGAGCTTTTTCGTACCGTCTGCAAGCGCGTATCCTGAAATTGTAAAACTCATTGCTCGCGAGTTAGTCGCTTCTGTAGATACCATTAAAATAAGGAAATTGTAGTTTTTCACCGAAAAATGAATATCGGTAATTATGCATTGTTTCTGTTAACTAAGATATATATATGCAATATCTTTTCCACTTTTCTGAGTACCTACATTTTCTTAGGATTAACGAAAACAGTTATCAGAAAATACAAGAGAATAAAATGGAACGTCTTATTTAACTCACGAGTACCATATTATGAGTAAAATTATTCGGAAATTAATTATAATCTTTTTATAGAGATTGAAAGATCGATAAATCCAATCCCATTTTCATTACGTGAAAATAATATATCACACTGACGAGCAACTTCTCTTGAAATATTCTTTTTTTTATGTCCATAATGTGTATAACTAATTAAAACTAATAACAAAGATGGGATCCTTTCTAGGCCATCAAAGTTCCATCCAATGTTAATCCTTAACATACCAAGTAAAGTAGAATCACTCAAAAACCATAACAGAATACAGAATCTATAATACTAATAGAACTTGCAGGTTTGCAGCCACAACAAAAATACAATAACAGGAACTAATGCAATAATGAAGAGAAACCATGTAGGACTTTAAAGACTCCTCTTGATAAAAGAATATCGTTCATATAACACTGGTATGCAAAGAATTAACACCAAACATTTTGCACAAATCTCCATGTTCTTTCTCTAATTAAATCAGCTCTAATTTAACAAAACACCGTCGAGATCTCACTGCAACAACGAGAATGAGGAAAGTTATGCAATCTTCTTCGTTTCAATCTCTCGTCGAGCAATCACAGCGTGCCCGATTGTTGTTCTCAGTATCCGGAGCTTATTTCTATCAGGCGTGACATCGTAGTAGAAACCAGTCGCTATTGGTCGTGAACGCGAGCTTTAGTATCGTACACTGTTGATCGACCAATGAAAAGTCAAGCCACGTCCCCTCGGTTCATCACGCCTACCGGGGACGAGGTTGGTTCGTGACGGCGTGGTTCGCGTCATCGCGACGTACCAAGCTTCCACCAGGTCCGGAGTTGATCCCGAGGCCCAGTCATCCGAAAACACTTAGTGGCGCATCAGTGCAACGTCTGCCAAGTGGCAAGTCTAAATAATTGACCCCACCGTTCGTGCAAACAATTTACATCGGGCACACGTAAATAACGGCCTCTTTCCTCCTTATTGTGATTACGCTTGGCCGCCACACGAATTCGTCCACGACGTGTGGGAACGGCCGATGCAGCAAACATAAACGGTAAATACAGCGAAACTCGATCGTGTTCGCAGTTGCGATTGATAGTGAGAGTGACAAGGACAGTATACGTACGAAATTACTGCTGGAAGACATTAAAAATTTTACGGATCATTTTTCAAATCATATTTACCGTGGTACGAGATACGTTGGAATTGGAATTCGTGAAATTATTGTGGTTAGAATAGCATAGATATACAACTAGACATACACCTTAGATTTCTAAGGATATTTACAGTGAGGTGAATGGACTATAGTTGTGAGTTTTAGAATGTTCGCTACAGCGTGACGACTGGTCTCGACGGACTTCATGGATCAAACGGTAATCGTTCCGTCGACTCCTCGCGGAAGCAACGTGGACAACGCGAGAGTCACGATGAAGAACGAAAGTGACTCGAATCTACATATCCAAGACCAGTCTACCGTAGCTCATTCCAATTCCACATCGGTGGTACCTCGAACCAATTTGTCGATGTCCAACAGTCTGAACCAAGATCAGAGTTTAGATCCGTTGATGTGTAACCCTGCCAGTACAGAGTTACCTAGGAAGCCTGGAGCTCGGCGCCAAGAGAAACCTCCGTACTCTTACATAGCACTGATCGTAATGGCGATTCAGGCGAGTCCAGGAAAGAGATTAACCCTTTCAGAGATCTACTCGTTTCTTCAGCAACACTTTCCCTTTTTCCGTGGCGCTTATCAAGGCTGGAAGAACTCAGTGCGCCATAATTTGAGCTTGAACGAGTGTTTTATCAAGCTTCCAAAGGGTTTAGGAAGACCAGGTAAAGGTCACTACTGGACGATTGATCCTTCGACAGAGTATATGTTTGAAGAAGGAAGCTTTCGTCGACGACCACGAGGTTTCCGTCGCAAGTGCCAAGCCTTGAAGCCTCAGTATCCTCAATACTTTTCTGCGAGTGGTCCAGTAGGCGTCCAGACTCCCGGATACGAAAATTTAACACCTGGAGCCATGGAATACGCGAATGGATATCAAAATCAGTATCAAAATTATCAAGAATATGCGATGTACGCAGCACCTGGTGCCGCGGTCTCCGCTGATTGGTCCTATCCTGAGGCCACATACAAGACACCGCCCATATCGGAAGTAACATACAAGACGACGGAAGTCACATACAAAACTGGAGAACCGTCTGTATACAGAAACGGAGAAATAGTAGCATTTAAGAGCGAGCCTGGATATGCGGCGAGGAGTCAGGAGCAGTTGACGTACAGAGCTACGGACGGGTTCTCCGTGAAAGATCATCAACAGCATCATCCAGAGACGGTTTATAAGGAGAATGAAACTATGATGACCTATAAGTGCCCGTCTAATCCCGCACCAACTACTCAAGCACCTGGACAAGATTATTACGTTGGTTACGGACTCGCCGGGGTCAACAATACTGGAAGCAACGTGAACGTCGCTATGCAGGGAATCCCAGAACAGACAGGCAACAACAGTCCCGTAGGAAACGTCAGTTCGCCGCACAGTGGGTGCCAGACACCTGTAACGGATAATGGTAAGTTGTTATTTAATATTATTTGATAATTTTTAGCTGTTGTAAGTACATACGCATATGGGTATAATGAAGAGAATACGAAAGAAGAAAATAACTGAAATTGTATATTTTATTTGGAGGATCAGACGATATTGAAATATTAAGAAACTGTTTTTAGTTTGGGTTTCTCTGTCAGGAGTATACTTACTTAAGTCGAAATTAAATAATAGACTTCAATAATTGAGGAGATTTCTGGAAAAAGGGCACAGAAAATAACATGGTGAATTGAATGCATTGCATTGGTAATTTTAATTCCAGTTCTTTTAATACCAACTACGTTCTTTGTTCCTTTCACAATTCTCCTAGGTAATAGGATGGTTGATTCATTATAAGTTCAATTCTTCTTGTTAATACAATGATTGATTCGCTATAAAATACTAAACAAAATAAGAAAATAGGTACATAATTTTCAGATCAGAAAGACAGTTGGAGAAATGTATGATTGAGTATAAATAATGAGTATAATTAAAGGCCCTGCTTATACGTTCCTGAAAGTGTAGATATTGATCTTGTAATTAAGAGTTGCAAGACTAGCAGGAGATTTTCTTAAGTCGAAGGCAACAATGACAATTCACGACAGTCGGGGGGCCATATGGAAAATCGCAGACTGTTTACGACCATACAGGCGCCAGTTTCCTTAGAACCATAGTCTAGTCGTTTAAAAAGTTCTTCGACGAGTTTCACAAGAACAACTGTGGTCCGTCTTGAACATTTTCCAAGCTTGAAATCCAATAAAAGATCCACTTGAGATTAATGCACCGAAAACTTACCTGAAAATTATTTTTATCATCATTAATAGTTAAATATTATATATTAATTATAAGTACTGTTAATTATACACCGTAAGGCAATATGAAAAATAACATTAGAAAAGGAACAACTTCCTGAGAGCGTAAATTTAAAAGTCAAAGTCAAAATTCAGAAGTCAATAAATTTGAAAGTCAAGTTCCGTTTAATAACACCGTCGAAAGTACTCTTCGCGCGGAGCCGACAGACATGAAATCACCGTAGCTGACAGCACCTATTAGCCAGGGTGACATTTCTGTCACGCCCATGCGAGAAGTCGTAATTCGTAACTCGTAACATTATACGTGTAACGGGGCATGACACGAAATCTCAGCTTGTCGTCCGTTTAGATTAATTTAGCGTAGAAACTCGAATCGGTTAACACAGAGGCGGCAATTACACATTCGTTAAACATCCACTTTTTTCGGCAGTAAAAGGCTCAGAGAAATTCATCGAGTCTTTAACTATGTCGTAATATGGCTAATGTCTAATGTTTCACTACGAGCGTGGTGCTATACAATCTTGTAACATTCCATGTATTCTATATATTCTACCAATCTTGTAATATTCTATGTATTCTATATATGTGTTCAACCTTGTAATACTCTGTGTATCGTTAAGCGTGTTGTATTATGAGCTACAAAGATTTACATACTACGATAGACGTATTAAGAATAATGTTCTAGAGTCATTGGTTCTATTCATTACGTTTATGAATGAAACGATTTCGTGAATGCAAAAGTTTACTACAGTTACTACGTTCGATCGCGTGGTAAACAAATGATCGTAGTGAACGAAAATACACGGTTTTTTTGTATCAGTTACCGGTAGTCGCGTGCTGGTAAGTGAGGTCTCAAATCGCTTATCGTGTAAACATTTACAAGTGGGGTAAACAAGATGTTCTTTAATCTAAGTACATCGAATGTAGCTACCTCAAACATTAGCTGGTTCGTTTATTAAACCTTTCCACGGAACTGACTTCGATCTGTGGTTCCGCGGTCTCAATGTAGACATATTATCTATGATGATGAATTAATAGTAAGCTTCTGCGAAATTTATACGACTCTAATAGTATTTTATCCAACTCTTCATTTAAAAAATTAAATAATATTTCTTCTAAATCAAACTCACGCAGATCAATTTTAACTCTATAGAATACTGTACTCCCCGTATATTTTATATTTTAATTTTATTTTTTAAAAATAGTAGCTTTTTGTTGCTTATTCATAATTCCCGATAATCCTCTGTCATGGAAACTTTAACTTTTACGTGTTTTCGTGATTGAGATATACAATTCTTCATTATAGTTTTGATATTTATGAATAATGAATATTTGTGTGTAGGGTTAAAAACTCTGATATCTATGATGAGGTTACTCTAGAATCGATATTTGCTATCTAGATCAACAGATCGTTCTCATCCGCGCACTCCCGTTTATAAGTACAATCTATTCCTTCTCTCTACCTCGATACACCATGGCATCGACAAGGGATAAACGTACCACCCACGCACCCTTCCTCCTGCTCCTCCTTCTCTTTTCTCGTTCAGTCAGTAAAGTGTAAACGAGATCAATCTGCAGACGCCTC